ATATATAACCATGATGCAAACACTAAGCAACTATAGTAATGATGTCAATTTCATAAAAGAAAAGGCCCTAGGCTATCAGGCATCATTTAATCAGGAAATTATATCATGCAATTCCTGAAGATCCCTAGCCTATCACTAGCATGTTTTTCTAACATATCACAATATCAAATAATAGCATGGTATTTTGGAGTCTACACACTAGCTCCGACTGATCGTACATATCACATCCTCCTTTAGTATTTTGAAAACCATTTTTGAAAATCTTTTCCTTAGTTTGAAATTTGATTCACACAAGTGATTCTCCAATTCACTCAAACCAAGGCTCTGATACCAACTTGTAACACCCATCAAATTGTTGAAAATTTAAACTTTTAAAAACATTCAAAATCATCATTGTTTACAAAATAAGATCCATATCAAAGAAATACCAAAATCATGAAATAAAAACATGAGGAAGTGCATGATCATGCCTTAGCCTTCCCGCGATCATCAAAAGTACCTTAAACATAATCCAATAACTGTAACTCCAAAGCTTAGTGAGTTTCCCCCAAAATACCAATACATAAAAAATAACAAAATATAATAACAGCATACAAAGGGTCCACAGCTTTACAAACTGGATTACCCCTGATCCCACAACATAAGTCTAGCTTGCCTCATAGGCCCACAACTTATGTATGGATTATTCCCCAACATGGTCAGTCAACAGACTGAATACCGCTAAGCCCCATTACGAGTTTGGCATGCTCGGCTCAGCTCTCAACTCATATCTGGAATGCTCATGAGTCCTCAGTATCAGTCTGTCATGCCCAACCTTAGCCCTCAGCTCATATCTAGTGATGTGTGTGAAATGCACTTGTTTTATCCATACTTTTAATTAATAAATTGAACACACAAAGGCAGTGGACATGTCTTTTAGTGGTATAGATTAGTAAGTAAGGTGTCGAACTCAAGGAACGGAAAATTAAACTAATAACTAATTTTAACTAAAACAACTAATAAAAGTAAAAGGGTTTTCTCTAGTTTTGCAAGACTAGAAACTTAGGCACACTAAATTAACTAAATAACTAAAGTAACAACTATTCACCAAATTTGATAAAGATGTTTCTATTTAGGTTCAACCAATTCACTCCTATGGTTATTTATATTTATGGTAGATTAATTGCTATTGGTTACCAATTATAATGGTTAGGTTCATGTTCATTACTCCTAACCCTTAGACAATTAACTAATTTAAGCGGTGATCAAGTGTTTAAACTAATTAATTCCCTAGATTAATGATTTGGATTAAATAAGATTTGTAATGGTCAATTAAGTTATTAATTCAATTAACCTCTTGTTTGATGGTTTCTCAAACAAGCTCACACATTAATCTTCCTATTGTCTTATTAATCTTAGTTTCATAATCATTACTTCTAAGCATATGGTTTAGTGTTCACATAGACATATGAGGTTAACAACTAAGAGATGTTCATGCAACCTAATTGTCTTCCAATTAACAGAAAATAGTAGTGATTAATGCATAAGGTTCTTTAACAAACTTAATTTAATATATCACCAATAAACAATCAAACAAAAACTAATAATTAAACCATAGGACTTCCTTGGTATTCCCCAAACATAAACAAAAACGAATTTAGTTCATAGTTGCAGTAGAAACAAACATAAAAACAAGGTTTACTAAATCAAACATATTCAATTCCTAAATCTAAGTGGTAGAATTAACCTAATTGCTTGAATTCTTCAAAAGATTGAAGCTTAGGGTTCCTTAGCGTCTTCTAAGGCTCTTAGTCGCAGCTTAACCTTCAAAAATCGCCAGGAATGTTGTCCCATTAGATAAGGATTCGGTTTTTATAGATATCCCAAAACAGGGTGTACTCGGCGAGTAGCAGGACCAACTCGCCGAGTAGGTGCATAGTTATCCGTCTTAAATCAGGAATCGTAGCTATCTTCTGGAACATCCTCGTGTACTCGCCGAGTAGAGTCGTCTACTCGGCGAGTAAATGGTCTTTTGTCTCTTATTTTCACTCTTTGGTCTTCAATTGCTTCCCCTTGCTCCCTTTTACTTCCAAGCATATCTTCTGGACTGAAAACAAAATTCAAAACATTTTAAGTACCTTTTGTCCATATTATTCACATAATTAATTAAAAATGACTAAGAATATAGGCTAAATAATTAACTAATTATGCACTTATCATCTAGCATACTCCAGGGTTTGTTGGCTACAGCACAAAGCAGTACAACCTCAACCCAACCCAAACAATATGTCGACATATAACAGATAATATGATAAGCAGATAAACAAGCAATTCATTGGTAGTCCTACATATCTACCAGACTAGCATAACAAGACTAGAATGCATAACTATGGCATACTCAACATATAATCAATATCAGGTTATCAAACCAATGGGCCGGCCTAGGTGCCTTCTGTGACAACTGGGAAATTTTTTGTCAAGAAAAGTCTAAATTGTAACAGTGTATAAGTGAATTCACAATGTAATTTTTTGCAATAAATTTTTGAAAGCCAAAGGGGCATCATTTGTAGGATTATTGATGAAGCAAAGAATCAAGTACAAAATGAATCAGAGTTTTAATGATCAAGTAAGATTGCGAGATTAGAACACCGATGTAAATAAGATTTTTCACTTCAGCTTTATTACGCTCTTATGTTCTTACAGAGTACAAAATATAATAACAGCATACAAAGGGTCCACAGCTTTACAAACTGGATTACCCCTAATCCCACAACATAAGTCTAGCTTGCCTCATAGGCCCACAACTTATGTATGGATTATTCCCCAACATGGTCAGTCAACAGACTGAATACCGCTAAGCCCCCATTACGAGTTTGGCATGCTCGGCTCAGCTCTCAACTCATATTTGGAATGCTCATGAGTCCTCAGTATGATTTTGTCATGCCCAACCTTAGCCCTCAGCTCATATCTAGCATACTCCAGGGTTTGTTGGCTACAGCACAAAGCAGTACAACCTCAACCCAACCCAAACAATATGTCGACATATAACAGATAATATGATAAGCAGATAAACAGGCAATTCATTGGTAGTCCTACATATCTACCAGACTAGCATAACAAGACTAGAATGCGTAACTATGGAATACTCAACATATAATCAATATCAGGTTATCAAACCAATGGGCCGGCCTAGGTGCCTTATGTGACAATTGGGAAATTTTTTGTCAAGAAAAGTCTAAATTGTAACAGTGTATAAGTGAATTCACAATGTAATTTTTTGCAATAAATTTTTGAAAGCCAAAGGGGCATCATTTGTAGGATTATTGATGAAGCAAAGAATCAAGTACAAAATGAATCAGAGTTTTAATGATCAAGTAAGATTGCGAGATTAGAACACCGATGTAAATAAGATTTTTCACTTCAGCTTTATTACGCTCTTATGTTCTTACAGAGTACAAGAGATAATTTTGTAAAAAGACCTCTATCTAACTCTAGTAAACACTCCTATTTATAGGAGAGAAAAGCGTACAAAAAACATATTAAGGACTAAACAGTAAGCTTCGAATACAATGCCTTAGTAAAATATATCATAATCCATACGAAGAGTACAAAAGACTTCGACTCATCACAATCCCAAAATACCCTTACAATCTCCCCCTTTGTAATCAGAGTTGAAGACATCAATTTGTAAGAAGTTGGATTGAATACAGCATAACTCTTCGTATTTCTGTGTACCAGCTTATTATCTTCTTAAGCTCCTTCTTGTCTCCCTCATTATTCTTCTTACAATGATTCATACGAACAATTAAGTTTGTATATTGCAAAGTCGAATATATTTCTACTTCAGAAGCTTGAAACAAAATTCTTCGATCTTCTAGACTTATCCTTCCCAGAAAAGACTAAACCAAAAGGTTTCAAGCAGATTTATCCATCAGCATATCTTTTAAGTTCTGCTTGTGTCTTCGAAGGATTCATTGGAGCAGTAATTTCAAGACCCTTTGATGTAGCCAACTCCTCATTTGTCATTGCCAGACATTCATAATAATTCTCAATGAAGATTTTGATATGAGTAACTCCCAGCTTAAACTCTTCCGACTCAGTGTTTTGCAAATAAGAAAATGACCTTTCCTTCATAATTAATGCAACTTGTATAAGATCATACAAGTTCATCAATGGAAAAGCCAGCAATTATGAATTCATATATACTGCCATTTTCCCTCACCACTGTATATATTTCAATTTTTGGACTGTGTCTTCAAAGAACATATCCTTCTTTATACTTATCACTTTCTTGATCTTTGTTAAAGACCACACCTCCTCAGCAGGCTTCACAAGAACAACATGAAATTTGATCTTCATGTGTGTTCCTTCGTCCTTCTCTTTGAATTTGCTTTCAGCTTTGAATTGTGGCATGATAAACATCATTTCGTTCATAGGGAAATCCAGCTGGCCTGCATCAGTATTTGTGACAAGATAGCTTTGCTTAGGATTTTCTCAAATGTGTACATGTGATTGAATGCAACTTTAGCTTCAATTGTTTCATAATTGTAATGCTTCGAAGGATCTCCTTTATTCAAGCCATGAGGGTCACTGGCCCTTTGAGTCATAATACTCTGAATCATACTCATTTTTTGAACCTCAGCCTCTACCTCTGCTTTATTTTCCTCCTTCGATTTTTCAATCAAAATTTCTTTACCTTTTGATTTTGAGCCAGACACAGCATCATCAATTTTTGGCTTTGAAGCACTTCCTCCAATGTCAGCAGATTTACCAATCACTATTCCTTTCGGTTTAGTAATTGGTACAGTTGTTACAACTGTAGAGGTGATTGGACCAGCTGTTTCCATTAATTGTTTTGTTGTTGGGATTTTTGAAGAGAATACCTTCCCCACCACTTTCGAATCTCCTCATTTGGTCTTCGTTCCTGTAGATATTTTTTCTCCCCCTTGCACCCCTGTGCTAGCAGGTGGGGCATAAGTAGTTGGAAGAAGACTGGAAATGTGTGATAGAGGAGCTAGTTGTTAGATAAGTAACTCTTCAAATTTAGAAAATTTATGGATCAGATCTTCCGAAGATAGCATAGACGCAGTAGACTTGGAAGATAGACTTTTATGCTCTTTCAAAAGTGTGAACACCTCCATGAAATTTTTGTTGTTGTTGTTGGTTGAAAGTTGAGATATCAGAGGGCTCAAACTTTCATATAGCTTTGCAAACTTCGTTACTGCCTCACAAATAATGTCCACTTTCTTGTTGATTGAATCAAACTCCGTTTGAACAACATAAATTTCTTTCTCCATATCTTCTCGTAACTCCTTTCTTTACATCCAAGACTCTTAACTCATTATTTTGATCAGAATGATCAATATAAATTTCTTTCTCCACTTTCTTTACATCCTGGAAAAACATCACATGCCTCTCTTTTGCAACTGTCTTCAAATCTTTCAAGTCAGACGCAAATCCATACTTCTAAGAATTAACTCTTAACTCATTATTTTGATCAGAATGATCAATCTTCTCCAATAACCTAGACTCTGAATCTTTCAGCATTCCAGAGACTTTTGTGGTTAATCTCCCTTCAAGTAATGTCAACATGCCATCAAGTTAAAGGCTAGACACATAATGACCTCCCCCAAGATCAGCTTGAGATTGAATAATAGAGTTAAGCTTCATATTCAAGATCTTGAATTGTTTCATCGTCATGAGACTATGATCCGGGAATTCAGTTTCCTCCTCATCAAATTCTAGGTTCTCAAAAGTTCCCCCAAAACCTTTAGATTCATTTTCAATATCCATAAATGAATCTTTTATTGGAGAAGTAGTGGTTTGTGGATTAGTTGATTGTGAAGGAAAAAGAGTGGTGAAAGGTTGTGAAATAATGTTTGCAAATGTTGGAGAATGTGTTGTGGATGTTGTAGGAATGATAGGGGTAATCTGTAAAGGTAAACAAATGAAAGATTGTGAAACCACATTCGAAGGGGTACCTTGTGTTGCTTTATTCGAATCGTCCTTACCCATGATGACATTTTTATCCATATCAGATATGTTTACAGGGATGCCTGAAGTTCGAGCCTCCAAAGTAACTGTCTTGGAAATTGAAACTTGGGGTGGTGTAATAACAGATGTATCCACATGAGAAGAATCTTTAAACAAAACCGTCTTAGGTGTCTCGGGAATAGTTTCACCCTCTTCTGCAGTAGATTCTGAGGTAAGAATCACCCTTTGCTTTTTCTTCTTGGAAAGTTGTTTTGCCATATCAGCAGCCAATCGTTTTTTCGAAGAAGGAGAAGCAGGGGCAGGTATTACTCTAAAAATCACCCCCTGATGAGAAACTTGGGGTTTACGAACAACATTCATACTAGATGATCGATGCTTGTGCTTCGAATTCATCTTGATTCGTCTCAATACACCAGTCTTCGAAGGAATGACTTCCTTCTCAGTTACCTGGGTATCAGGAATAATAGGCTCCGGCTGAATTGGCTCAGGTTCGATCACAGGAACCTGCTTCGTACTCTTTGATGATTGAACCTTTGTACCCGAATACCTAGCATCATTCTTCTTCGCCTTCTTTGACTTTTTTTCAATTGTTTGTGGTAAGAGAATCCCAGTTTCAACAGAAGTATCTATGGATTCTAAGTAAGAAACCAAGACTGGATTGGAAGGATCAATTCTTTTTAACATTGCGTCATGGATACGAGCAGCAAACGGAAATACATCTTAATCATCCGTTGCATCCTTCGGACAACTATAAGTGTGAAACACAACCTTCTCCTCTTCCGCTGGAACTGAAATACCTTATTTTTCATAGAAATGCTGCAAAATTAGACTCCAATATCGAGCACACGAAATGCCACGAATAGCATTTGTATTTTCGATACTGTTCTGAAACTCCTTCCACAGTTGTGTTGAGTAATCAACCTGAAGATCATAGCACAACCAGGAAACCATGGCGTACACCTCTATTCTTCCCTTATCTAGCCCAACCATTCTGCCAGTTAAACATCAGAGAAAAATCCCAAACAGAAAATTCCATACACTTGGCAACCCTGACTTTTTGAAGTCATTAATCTTTGTCAATTGGGGTTGATGACCCATTTCATTGAACATGTGTACGATTTGTGGAATAGTAAAAGTAACATACAGTGGTGAATTCGGTATGGCAAGGATTTGGCAGAAAAGCTTCATTGATAACCTAACCTTTTTAACATTGATAAGGTTGAATGTAACAGCTTCTAAAGCTTTTGAATATGTTGCAGTTGAACCGGCTTGATATAACCAAGAAAGAGGAACAGATAATGAGTTACACATGGCCTTTGATAATACTGAGTTTTGCAGAGCAACCACCAGCATTTTCAATTCTTCAGGATACAAAGAAACATTTGATTCAAGCTGGTAATTAGTACCCTGAATCTTCATGATCGGCAGAGAAGTTACATCATCAGTTGTGTGACAAAGAGTAGCATCAGGATTTGCAGTCGCCATTTTTAGGGTTTGAAAGTAGATGATTATCAGAGAAACTTTTAGCAAGATGAATGTCACACCCCCAAACCGGAACGACGGAAACGTTCGGGGGCGGATGACTTCATGTGGTAACATAACAAATGAATACATAGTAAAGAAAGCAATACAACCATCATATATATAATTGAAAGTTTACATTGTTAAAAGGTACATGTTCAAAACCAATTACAATATGATGCCAAAATATGAATTTAAACTGGCACCGCAGCGTTCCTTCTTCAAAACCTGTTTGTTACCTGTAATTACTGAATCCCTGGGACATACAAGTAGTTTTGAAAGAGTAGATCAGCATTTAAGCTGGTGAGTTTCATAAGTATTAAATGACACTGTTTGTATGAAATGAAATGTTTTGTTCTTGTTTGTTTGTTCCTAGAAAATCCTATATTTTCTACTAGCATAAATGTAGCCTTCTTTCAAGACCAATGTTTGTTTCTAGAAAATGTATGTACGTATAAAATTTCCAATATGTCTGAAAAACCCCGTAAATCAATGTGTTTTTAATACTCCATGTGAGTTTTATAACCATGCTATTGACTAGAAATGCCTATACACAACGTTCTTCAGGCGTTGGAATGTTCTGACGTTTGTCACCCCAAATGGTGGACTGTAGCTAATAGTCAGGGCGCGGGTTGTCAAGCCCGTATATATCTATACACAAACACCATGCTCCCCCTCCAAGGGATTTTGGTATATAATACAAGACTTGAAATGCGTACTCGAACGTACGTGAAGTTGATGTCTCACAAAACTTAGTATAAAACATATTTACGTGTGAAAATGTTCGTTTGTTCTTGTATATGAAAGTAAACTTCTTGAAATAGTGTTTCTAGTATGTAAAAGTTCGTAATGTTCTCGTAAAACTATACCTATTATAGTTTTTCTAAAAATGTGTCTTGTTTGCATAGTAATCCCTAGTAAAATGCTCACTTGTTATGAAAAGTATAATTTTTATAGTGTGTAAGATGGACACATATACATATAGTATAAGCATTTGACAATATTTTACCCTTTGCTCAACAGGATACAAATGGAGTAGAGTTTCGTAAACTATATATGTATATTTTTGATGTAGAAGACAAGTTTGTAAACAAAACATATATATGCAAAAGTTTATATATATGTATGAATTTTAAAAGATGATTTGGTATGTTTCGTAATGGTTGTTCATATTCTTACGTTTTTATTAGAAACTCTGCATGAAATAATCCTTAAGTTTGATACTAAGACCTTTTTGTACTTATCACTTTTGTAAAAATTGTAATTAAACACATTTAAATGATTGTGTTTTTAACTTCCTTAATGTATAAACATTGCTCAAAAATGTTAGAAAGTGTTAATAAGTCTATAAACCACTTTTGATAGTTTTACCCTTTACTGTCCTTGTTTTTAGAAAACTCATAGAAAAATCATCATAAGTCAAAAACTGAATCCGTCACTTCTGAGAGTTTATAAAATGAGTCTACGTTGTTCCTAATTTTTATTATGATTTTTAGTGGTCTCAAACTAGTGTGAAAATGAGCATATTCACAGACTGGTCCGAAATAACTTCTGAAATGACAGGCAGTTTTATTAAAATCGCCATAAATTGTAGAAAAATCGTATGAATGCGTGCAAGTAGTCCTTGGAAAGGTATAAACTTGAACTATTTGCATATTGTATAGTTTTGAAGGATATTAAGTTTAATATGGTCAAAACAGTCCGTGAACAGGACTCAACTTTTCTGTAGAAAGCTGTCATTTAAATTTAAGTTATGTTTAGTGTTCTAACTTGTATTCCCCCTCTTAAAACTTGAAGAAAACATGAAAATGTAGGGGTATGAGCTCACCTTATGTGAATAATTGAAGAATGGAAGGTTTAAGATGAGCTTTTGGTTGTTGGTTTGATGCTCCAAAACAGCCACTCTTTTGGCTATGTTGTTGTCACGAAAATTTCACTGCAAAAGAGCAAAAAAAAGGGTAGTTTACTCACTGTTTTGAATCAATAATTTTGAGTATCATAACAAGTAACTTCCAGGGGTATTTGGTGGTAAAATATCAAGCAAAAGGAAGGTGTAGATGGGTGAAATGGTGGCTGAAACACAAAAGGGACAGCAGCCCTTTAGTTCATGGTTTTGATGGCTTTGGAAGGAAGTTCTTGTGCTTGAAAATGAGATGAAGGTTGAGAGTAATTCCCTGGAGTATTGGCTGGTCAAATGAGGGTAAAATGAAGAGGAAATTTCGTGGATATGAAGGAGGAAAGAGTGGTAGAGGATAAGGGGACAAAACCTAGACTAGCTTGTGATGGGATGTGAGTTTAAGTGATGTGATCTTGTCTAGCCACTTGCTTGGGTGGTTGCTTAGAGATAGAGTTAGTTAACTAACTAAATACTAGTTATTTAGTTAGTTAGGAGTTCTAGTTAAGGAGAGGGAAGGTCTTAATCTCGAAAATTAGAAGAGGGATTAATAAGCATTCTTAGTAAAATGTCTTAAGTGATTAAGCACTTATTAGTTAAGTTGGCACATATCTCCACCAATTCTCTTATCTTAATTGATTTAGAAATCATATTCCTTACATGAAATCACTTAATTCATGACCCATAACTAGTCATTCACTAGATAATAATACATATGTACAAATACATACATGTATACTTAGTATAAAATAACAATGTAGTTTTTGTGTTTTTGAACTTTAATGTTTATGTTTTATTCTTTTTATTCAAAAACACTTAAATACATTCTAATTATACCTTATAATAATTCATTTTATATTTTTATTTATTTAAATATAAAATTTATTGACCAATGTATAATTTCGTGACATTTAACCGGTTAAACACGTTGGTCATTTTGGTTCGTATATTTGTCAAATTTAGATCTTCCACATCTATTAAGCAAACCTTTTACATAGAACCTAATTTACTTATAAACTAGAGACATGTTAATACAAAAATTAAGTTTGTTGTGTTTAAATGATGTTATATGCTAATTTCACAAACCGTTGATGGTTCGTAGTCATACATCATAACAAAATTTATCAATAGTTACTTGTTTTATATTTCACAATAACTTATTTAAATAAAAGAGGTTAAATTCCTTCAACCATTCTTGATAAAATACTCATATTTCTTAATAATCAAAACATAGCATCGTACGATCGTTTCTATTTTTACCAATTGTTACATTCTCCCCCCGTTAAAAGAATTTATCCCCGAAATTCAACTTGTAGACGGGATATCACTAAACAATTGGTGGTGTTTTTTTTTATATTTGATCCTCGCATTCCTTAGTGAATTTCGGTCCTCGCTTGGCGTTCCAACAAGCCTTCACTATGAGCAAGCGACTTTGTTTTGTCCTTTTGACCTCCTAATCCATGATTTCCACCGGTTCTTCGATGAAGTTTAGACTCCTGTTGATTTCAATTTCATCCAGTGGAATAACAAGAGTCTCATCAGACAAGCTCTTCTTCCGATCCTGGGATGCCTTCAATCGTTCACGGGTTGAACAATCTTCTTTGTAGTTTCTCGTATGATCTGGGGGCTGGTGAGAGTGTTGTTAGGAACTTGCAAGTTAGCTATTTGCGTGTCACCTACCTCATCCCATCAAAGAGGTGATCTACACTTGCTTCTGCAAAGAGCTTCGAATGGCGCGACTTTGATGTTAATGTAATAGTTGATGTTGTATAAGGATTCGATGAATGGTTCTTCCTCTTTGTCTTTCAGATTGAGGGTGATAAAAAGGACTTTTTTAACGACTATTGAAAACACGAGGCGAATCGCTTGTCCCTTATCCAAAATGATAGATAGTGGTATTGTAACATCCGGATTTTTACCAGGTATAATGAAAGTTTAATTATGTTATTTTGTAAGAGGGACTCGGCGACTCGGGGCTCAGACTCGCCGAGTAGAGACGCGGGATTGAGCGAAGGTGCGCGCTTGGACTCGGCGAGTCCAAGGTATGGACTCGGCGAGTCTGCGCTGTGTAGTGAAACCCTAAATCTCCGGGTTTGTGGCCTATTTAAAGGGCCTTATGGCCGTCATTTGCGCTCATCCAACCCCCAGAGTGTTTCCCTAGAGTTCTTGAGCGTTTGGTGAAGGATTGAGAGCAAATCTTGACCTTGTGAGTGTTGTTTAGCAAGAAGAAGGAGGCTCTAGGGAAGAGGAAGCAAAGGAGGTTGCTATT